CCCATTGCTGACTTTCTTATCAAAGCAACATACACGCTCAAACATTTTCACATCCATTTCTTTCATAAGACTCCTTTTACCTTTTGATATATTTTTTTCAAAGCTCAGTTGAGATTTTATATTCCTGGATGCCCATGATATTTGAGGGCTTTACCTTGACTGCACTCGGACAAGCTGGGATAACTTTGTTTTAATGTGGAGGCAGAGCTGCAGCAAAGCAGTGACAGTGGGAAGCAGTTTAAGGACATGGAGTATAGACGGAGTGCATTGGGTTTTTCTCTGTGGCTCCCTTATTCACATGGCAGGAAGCCAAGGAGGACTGCAAGACCCTTGATATGCCACCCACAAGGATATACAGTATACAGCCAGTAGTCGCAGGGTGGTGTTGCATGTCAGCACTCCCAAATGCCACTCTTAATTCCTCAGTTCTGATGCATTTGTTTTCCAGTGGTCTATGCCCTCTAGAAACAGTGCATACCATCATCAGGTAAATGTGTCTGTTGTGGGCCCTTCACACAACAAAACTGCTACTTTCTACAAGCAGTGTTAGAGGAAAAGGAGACCATCCTTCAGCTAAAGCCACGTAGGGGAGACCGGGTATGGTTGTAACATGGGGAGAGCTGTAACAACACCAATTCCACCAAATAGAGATGAGATAGGAGTAAGGTGATCATTTCAGTATCTACCTACTTCCTCCCCGATCAGGCATGGTGGTTATCAAGTCTGGAAAGAGGTGCATTCAGAATATATAGAGAAAAAAAATGATTTTGAGGTAAGAAAGTAAAGTTTTTGACCAAGACTATTTTTTGTTTAGTATCTATACTATTGCAGATAGAATTGTTTGAATTATTTTAGATTGAAGTATAGTTTCTCAGGCAACATGTGATGCATTTTTTCCTGCAGTCTGGGTCCACCAAACCTGCACTCCAGGGTTACCAGCATTCATTTGTCAGCACTGTGACCAGTACTCCCCATTCACATGTTGTACACACGTTGGCGTATGTATCGTCACTCGACCTTTTACATACATACACACACACACACCTCTTTTTAGTTAGACCTAAGGGTGTACAGAGATGTTCTTTAATTAATTACATTTTAGTAGTATTAAGTAAACTGTTGATTAAGTTTATTCTATAGATAAATTTACATACACATACTGAACATGCGCGTGAGTCATCAGACCAAGTCTGTTACGGCAAGAGAAAAACTTTTCTCTCTTTTATATAACTACCTGTTTTTGAAGCATCATATAGTGTGGCACCTATTTTTGCTTCTTTTGTCTTGTTACCACTTACCCCAGCATGTGTTACAACCTACCCCGTTGTACAGGTTGTAACAAGGGAACACATTGCATTTGACATCAACTCACGAGGTCTGTGATATTCTTGTAGAGGACTGAATTGGTGCTATTTGTAGTGAACAAATGTGGGTACTTTGTATACAAATTTGAGAACTCTAGCTAAAAAAATCAGTTATAGTTACTGAAGCAAAAAGTCTTACAACCATACCCGGTCTCCCCTATTGCAGCACACATTAGACTGGTTAAAATGTCCTTCTGTGAGACATTGAATGCCTTCCAGTTCTGGTGCTGCCGTTCCTCAACTGACCCAGTGTTGGAAAAGGGGGGTTAAAAAAAACACCACCAAAAAATCACATCATAAAATATTCCTTTAAACCTAAATCTGATATTTTTATATTTTCTACTCCACAATTACACTATCAAACCACACAGCTCCAAACAGACATACATACCTTCAACTCACAGTGTGCTCTTGGGAGTTTTGGAAGTAGCCTACTGGAACTCATGACTTGTGGACGAGGAGTGCCAGCAACCACAGGAAATTAACCACTTCAAAACATACTGCTTGTTGTTATTATGCTCCAGAGCGCTCTCTCCTTTCCTGCTTTGGCTGACCAGTCACATGCCGGTGCCAGTGCGGGTGCCAGCCAAACAGATTTATTTCGTGAAATTGCTCATATATTTTCACTGAGGCAAAGCCACTCGGAAGCGGCTCTTAGATTAGCCCTACAAAACATTTGCCAGCTGTGATGGAAGAAAGGCCTCAATCATTTATCCAGCAGAGTGGGAAACTTTTTTCTTCAAAGCATGCCATATAGTCTCTGCTGAGCCCCAAAAGCACCTCATATAGACTTGCGTTTTTGTGATGGACCTGAACTGGCACACAAGAGGGAACATTGTAGGCAATAAAGTAATTAACTCAGTGTTACGACCCTACGGGTCGTGTGTTTGGGTTGGGTTGTGTGTTCCTTTTCCCTCTCAGGTAGTGGCCCTTACCCCCCCATGCCTTGGCTGCATGAGTGAGTGGCAGCAGGTGTGCCTGATCACCACTCAGTGCCTGGAGCATAAGAAGGCTTGGTTTTTTCACAGCACTTTGTCTGTTTCCCCTTTCTACCTGTTGCAACCATACTGCAGATCATCACCTGTGAGCAGACCACTGCCAGCCCTTCAGCCCAGCGGACAGGGGCAGCCCATTCAACCAGTGGGTTGAACACCAGCCCAGAGCCTCCATGAGTCCAGAACAGTGTCTGGTCACCTCCTCAGTGGAGAGAGGACTTTTCAGCAGTTCATTTAGTGTTGAACATTGCTCCCTCAGTTACTTACCCTGTGTTTATTGTTGCCTTACCTTGTTGGCTCGCTCTCTCCTTTTGAGAGAGTAGTTTTGAGTTGGTTTTCCTTTGTCAGTATAGAATAAATACACTTTAGTTTGCACATAACCCTGACTTCCTGTCCTCTTTTGCCCAATTTTTTATTTCAAATATTGTTGCTCCTTCTCCCCCTGGACTCACCATCCGGAGGAACGTAACACTCAGTTTTCTGATATTCATATAGGCCTAATACTTAATTAAAGTCATAAATAGCAAAAACAAATAGGTTAGGGAGCTTCCTCAGTAGTGCTCCTGCAACGAACCAGCAAGAATAAAGAGGGAGTTTGATTAGGTTTGCATTGACATTTTCTGTTTGAATTCTGCAATATAAACATCAGCCCATTTTCTGAGAAAACACTCAAACTACATGACCTACCACAAAATACAATTCAAATGAGTTACAAATGACCAAACTGTACAAACTGCTAAAGCTTTCACTGGGCTCAGCAACCTCTGACTTCCCTCACAGAGAGATTGCTTTCCAGGCAGACCTTCTCACACTATCCTGAGGGAGCAGCCTTGCCATTCTTGTCAGGTTTCATTCAATGCCCACCTCATTGATCCCCTCCACTGACAGCGCAGTAAGCCATCTGGAACAGTGGCGGTTTCCCTTCACCCAGGGCGCAGCAAGATGCCTCTCAGCTCGACAGGCTGACAGGTGGGGTTTATGCAACCTGTGCCCCTTAATGGAAAGAATAAATTAAGTGTCATTTTAGCTTAACATGGATGACTGCCTTAATGAGCTACATATAGACTGTACGGTCACATATAAAACCCATATGCCATAATCATTTCATTGGAGTAATTTAAAAGCGCTCATTCCGACTTTTGAATTACATCTGATTTTAACTGAAGAGGACAATAAATCAAAACTTGTGTGCTGCTGCGCTACTGTTGCATCCTAAAAGCAGCTGCTGAAGTGGATAGCCAATCAGTTGGCTTGTCTCCTTACACAAGTTTTTTTTTTTTTTCTTAAGCCAACCAACACCTTAAAAAATTCCCTTGAGCCCCTGTTACGGCCATAGCCTGAGCTAGACAGCTGGTTTTGCTAAGCTTCCTCATAAACACCTCTCAGGCATGAGTTGAAGCTCTGTCTGCATAAAACCCCTTCTGAGAAATAAGGAGCATGTGGGAAATAATGCAAAGACTATAGCTGGTGCTGTATGTGTCCCACTTATTGTTTATTTGCAGCAGTGCATGTTTGTGGTTTTTAAGTGTGTGTGTAAATATAATTTCCACAGACCCCTGTGATTAGCCTCGAGTAACAAATATTTCCTAGTGTCAGATTCTTGTGCAGATTTTCTTTTCTTTGCAATATATCATTATAAACTGAATATCTATGGCCATTACTTTTTGGTCAGACAAAACACGCAATCTGAACCCGTCACTTTGGGCCCTGAGTTGGGCATTTTAATCTATTTGCGGACATTTCATTGACTAATCTAAAAAATAATCTGCACATTAAATAACAGAGCCCAGAATTACTAAAAAGTGGAAACATTTTAACAATAAAATATTCAATGAACATCCATAGCCAGTCAAACAGATGGAATCCTGAAATGTGCCACAACCGATGTTTTGCTGCTTGACAAAATTCTGTGGTGCACATTCTAGTCTGCTCACCTGCCCGAGACAGTTTCTGACGCACAGGCGGCTGCGGAGGGCTTACAAATGAGCTAGATGCCTGGGACCCAGCGCAGCAGTCCAGAGCAGTGTCGCAGACACACGGGAGGTATTTGATCAGCGGTCAGACATTTTAACATCCTCAAGGAGCCAGGAGGAGGAGCCTCTCCCGATCCCCTCAGTTTGTGTGCATCACAAGACTGTGGTGAGCAGTTATGTCAGTGTTTATCCACATACAAGTACAAGTGCATAAAACAATGAAATAATTCAACTGTGAAAACATCTGATTACTTTACTTTACTTTGGATTAACATAAAAAATATTCAGTAGGATGACAGGTTAGATGTCAACAAAATGCACCAAGCAGGAAAACAAAATGTACTTAAGACAAGATAAATGAAGCGGCACTGTTGCAAAAAAATCAATTCATAGTGTAGAAAACTGTAGGTTGAGTGGGTGTGAATGACAGACTTATTGTTGCAAGTGGAGGGAACGCTACAGTATTTAGTTCAGTCTGGATCTGCATTTCTAATTATTCAGAGAAGAAAAGATGCTTTCGGTTGGACTATTCATCTGTCAAGGTTCTGCGTGAGAAGATACTTGTTATTTGTCTGTTAAATGTTCTTTTGCGAGTTTATTCCAATGTAAACTTTTCAGTGCAAGATAGATTTAATACATGTGTTTGGAGTCAATAATAAAACAAGACATGCTGAACATGAAAAGTAAAAACTTTAATTAGCAAAGGCAAGAGTGTATTCATACAAGCAAACAAACTCATGTCTGTGTTATGTGACCAAAAGCTGTTTACATATGAATGTAAGGCATGGCTATGAATCTTACACACACAAAAAAAAAAACACTGAAAACATTTGATCATCACACATACTCCTCTTACAATAAAACTGAATTTCACTAGCTATCATAAATACAGTTCTCCTGGTTAACATTTTCCATCCATTAGAAAAATATTTTATTTAAAGTCACAACAAAGTATCGTATGTCCCGGAATATCAACAGTGCTACAGTATTCTCTTCTCTTTAACTGAAACAGAAATATTACATATTCAGAAATGAGACCATGTCACATTTGATTGCTTTTGCACTGAATTAACACCAGGATAAAAACTGAATGATGGTTCACATTTCTTCACTGTTTCACATTAATTAATTAATTAATTAATTAGATAGGAGCTGCACGTATTGTGGCTCAAAAACTCCGCAATGTTGAGGAAACGGGAAGTTAAATTTCCCCAGAAATGCCCAAAACAGAAAAAAAACACAAAAACGTTTGCACATTTGAAGGGTTATGAGGAGGACCGATTCAGTGGACGGCATTTTCACAAAATGTATAAGCTACAACATAACGAAGGACGTTTTATGTTCACCAAAATAAACATTGTCAAGGTAACGTTTACTTTTTGTAATACAAGAATGAGGTTCATCCTGAGTTACTAAATTTCACATGTCAAATATGATAAGTGGCACACAAGTAAAAGGCAAACAAACACAAAATTAAACCTTATTTAAGCATAAACTATTGATTTTTCTAATAAGCATTCTTCATACTCTGAAAGATGTCAGTTAATAACAGTGGTTTTGTATAAAAACGATTTCCATGTCAAACCATACACACACACACGCGCATACGAGAACAGCCCTGTTATCCAGCAGTTTCTTTTAAGCATCTGTACCAACATGTGAATACAGTTGAAAAAAAAATTATATTTTGCAGTCACATCCAACAGCTTTAATACTGAGGGACAGAGGCACATTCAAAATGCATTTATGGCCTGTGGTGTTCTACCTTCGAAGAATACAGACCAGAAAGTCAGAGAGCTTTATCAGGACCTGTAGTCTGGAGAATAGAGACGCGACCTCGGGCTGCTGTTTGGGTCCGTCCACGGTATTCTTTGATTGAAGGAATTTGCTACTGGAGAGTCTAAACCTGAAAAAGAGCCACATAGAGCACTGAGTAAATAAAGCATAACCAGTCACTTTGTGGAGAGAAAATATTATAAACAAACAAGAAATAAGAGGATCAAATCAGTTGCTAACAGCTGTTCACCAAATCAGGCATTGTGATCAGTGCAGGGTTGTGCAACAGTGTAGGCTTGTTTATTTGTGCTTTAAAACACCACCGCTGTTTTATTTCTCCGATTCACTGGGTTTCTCGCAACCACTGCGCCCTCTCTCTGTCTGTCTCTTTCTCTCTCAAACAAATGCACACAAACCAAAGGAAGCTTCTCAGTATTACTATTTTGCAGCATAGCTGCAAACCAGTCGCCGATGTTGAAGCTGGGTTCACAAAATAAACAAATGGGAGACTACGATTGTTTGGTCAGCCAAGATAGCGCCCGGTTTCTGCTTTGTTTCAGGCTGATTATGGAGCCGTTTGACTTGTATGATCATTGGCTAATCTAATTGGCCACCGCAGCATGACGTTGGGTAGCGTTTCTCCAAAAGTTGATTCTATTTCAACTTTTTGCCTTCCCCGCTGCTGCAGCCTTAACACACTAACCCCATTCAAATGAAAAGGAGGACAGCTTATCTTTGGCAAATATGGTTCAATTTAAAAGGAAATACAACTTGGTTTAAAAATGATAAATAAACAGTCTAATTTGTATTGATAACATGTTGTAGCAACCAGAGCACAAGCTAAAAATTGTGACATCAAACACCGCCTGCGGCAGCTTCATTCCCAGTAAATTGAAGACTTGGGAACTGATACAATCCTGTTTCTGCTTGGTTTTACATCCAAATGAGCTTTAATTCACGATGGCTGAGATGGCATTTGTTCAAGAAATCTATTCTGCTGCATTAAAATTGTCCTAGATGCTGTCAGAACTTCGTCTATCTTTTCTATTTAATTCTCGGTGGAGCTGTTCAGCCTAGTGGCGTCACAGATTTAAGGGTTAGAAAGATGGAGCTTAAGTGCCATGTACTGCTAGATCCTTTTGAATGTGTGCTTCAGTCTTTATTTACTTAATAGCCATAGTGGGGAAGTGTCACAGTGACCTACCTGAGATAGGTGGTGTCCTGAAAGCAGGATGATAAGCTTGTTCTCTCGGAGAGAACACAGTGTGGATGACTGCGGGGAATAAAAACAAATTTAAAAACACCATCATCTCAGCTCAGTATCAAAAAACCTCCTGGGAATCACACAATGTCTTCACAACTTTAAGTACTTCAAATTGTGACCCGCACTGACACAGAGATTGTCAAGTTGTGACAGTACTTCACTTTTGAAGGGACTTCGTGATGAAAGACAAGCTGACACAGCAGTGCCTTGCAATGTAGTGTCAGTTTTTTCATATATATATATATATATATATATATATATATATATATATATATATATATATATATATATATATATATATATATATATATATATATATATATATATATATATATATATAAAAAATACAGCATTTGTTTTAGCCGCCCTTATTACAAAGTGTATGTATATATACAAACCTACCTACCTAGAAAAATTAGCATATCGTGCAAAAGTTCATTGATTTCAGTAATTCAACTGAAAAGGTGAAACTAATAGATTATATAGACTCATTACATGCAAAGGGAGATATTTCAAGCCTTTGATATAATTTCAATGATTATTGCGTACAGTTTATGAAAATCCCAAATTCAAAATCTCAGAAAATTAGAATATTACATCAATAAAAAAAAAAAAGCATTTTAAATACAGAAATGTCAGCCCTCTGAAAAGTAAAAATAAATCATGCATACGTACTCAGTACTTGGTTTGGGCCCCTTTTGCATGAATTACTGCCTCAATGCGGCGTGGCATGGATGCTATCAGCCTGTGGCACTGCTGAAGTGTTATGGAAGACCATGACGCTTCAATAGCGGCCTTCAGCTCTTCTGCATTGTTCGGTCTCATGTCTTTCATCTTTCTCAGGTCAGGCAAGTTTGCTGGCCAATCAAGCACAGTAATCCCATGGCCACTGAACCAGGTTTTGGTACTTTTGGCAGTGTGGGAAGGTGCCAAGTCCTGTTGGAAAATGAATTCAGCATGTCCATAAAGCTTATCTGCTGAAGGAAGCATAAAGTGCTCTAAAATGTCCTGGTAGACGGCTGCGCTGACTCTGGACTTAATAAAGCACAGTGGACCAACACCAGCAGATGACATGGCTCCCCAAACCAACACAGACTGTGGAAACTTCACACTGGACTTCAAGCATCTTGGATTGGGTGCCTCTCCATTCTTCCTCCAGACTCTGGGACCTTGGTTTCTAAATGAGATGCAAAATTTGCTCTCATCAGAAAAGAGGACTTTGGACCACTGAGAAACAGACCAGTTCTTTTTTTGCGGACGACACCACCCTCATTGGGCTCATCACAGGTGGGGAGGAGTCCGCCTACAGGTGGGAGATCGACCATCTGGTGACCTGGTGCAGCCAGAACAGTCTGAAGCTCAACGCTCAGAAGACAGTCGAGATGGTCACAGACTTCAGAAAGACACAGTCCCACCCTCCCCCATCATCCTGTGTGACTCCTCAGTCACCACTGTGGACTCCTGCCGCTTCCTGTGCACCATCATCTCCCAGGACCTCAAGTGAGAGCTGAACATCACCTCCATCATCAAAGTCCCAGCAGAGGATGTACTTCCTGCGGAAGAAGTTCACCCTGCCAAAGACAATGATGGTGCACTTCTTCACCGCCTTCATTGAGTCCATCCTCACCATCTGGTACGCTGCTGCCACTGCCAAGCGCAGGCTGCAGCGCATCATTCGCTCTGCAGAGAAGGCTGCAATCTTCCTTCTCTTCTGGACCTGTACGCCTCGAGCAGGAAAGTTTGCAGCTGACTCCTCCCACCCCGGACACAAACTGTTTCAGACTCTCCCCTCTGGCAGGAGGCTGCGGTCCATCAGGACCAAAACCTCTCGCCATAAACAGTTTCTTCCCGTCTGCAACTAGCCTCATTAACAAGGCCCGGGTCCCCCACCGACACTCCCCCCTTGCAAACGATACAAATGTCTCTGCACATGTAAAGACTGTTTAATATTGTGTCGGGCACAGACCTGGCACGTCGCACATATTTGTTGTTGATTGTTGATCTTTGTTGTTGTATATTTTTATGTTGTCAGTTTATATATTTATATGTACATAATATTCTCTTCCGTTACGTTACTTCTGCACGGCACAGACCCAGAATAATGCACATGTATATATCTGCAACAATGTTCTTCAATTCCGTATTTATATATTTCCACATTTATTTATGTTGACTGTATGTTTGTCTATGTGTAGCACCTTATCTCCACAGCAAATTCCTCGTATGTGTAAAACACTACTTGGCAATAAAGCTCCTTCTTTTCTTTAGCCCAGGTAAGACGCTTCTGACATTGTTTGTTGTTCAGGAGCAGCTTGACAAGAGGAATACGACATTTGAAGCCCATGTTCAGGACCCGTCTGTGTGTGGTGGCTCTTGATGCAGTAACTCCATCTCAGTCCACTCCTTGTGATGGTCCCCCACACATTTGAATGGCCTTTACCTGACAATCCTCTCCAGGCTACGGTCATCCCTGCTGCTTGTGCACCTTTTTTTTTTTTCCCCCTCTCCACACTTTTCCTTTCCACTTAACTTTCTGTTAATGTGCCTTGATACAGCACTTTGAGAACATCCAACTTCTTTTGCAATTACCTTTTGAGGCTTTCCCTCCTTGTGGAGGGTGTCAGTGATGGTTTTCTGCACAACTGTCAGGTCAGCAGTCTTCCCCATGATTGTGAATTCTACTGAACCAGACTGAGAGGCTCAGGAACCCTTTTTGCAGGTGTTTTGGATTAATTAGCTGATTAGAGTGTGACACTTTGAGCCTACAATACTAGAACCTTTTCACAATATTCTAATTTTCTGAGATTTTGAATTTGGGGTTTTCATAAGCTGTACGCAATAATGATCAAAATTATATCAAATAAAGGCTTGAAATATCTCACTTTGCATGTAATGAGTCTATATAATAGATTAGTTTCACCTTTTAAGATGAATTGCTGAAATAAATGAACTCTCTCTCAAAAAATAAAGGGAACACTTAAACAACACAATGTAACTCCAAGTCAATCACACTCCTGTGAAATCAAACTCTCCACTTAGGAAGCAACACTGATTGACAATCAATTTCACATGCTGTTGTGCAAATGGAATAGACCACAGGTGGAAATTATAGGCAATTAGCAAGACACCCCCAATAAAGGAGTGGTTCTGCAGGTGGTGACCACAGACCACTTCTCAGTTCCTATGCTTCCTGGCTGATGTTTTGGTCACTTTTGAATGCTGGCGGTGCTTTCACTCTAGTGGTAGCATGAGACGGAGTCTACAACCCAGTCAAGTGGCTCAGATAGTGCAGCTCATCCAGGATGGCACATCAGTGCGAGCTGTGGCAAGAAGGTTTGCTGTGTCTGTCAGCGTAGTGTCCAGAGCATGGAGGCGCTACCAGGAGACAGGCCAGAACATCAGGAGACGTGGAGGAGGCTGTAGGAGGGCAACAACCCAGCAGCAGGACTACTACCTCCGCCTTTGTGCAAAGAGAAGCAGGAGGAGCACTGCCAGAGCCCTGCAAAATGACCTCCAGCAGGCCACAAATGTGCATGTGTCTGCTCAAACGGTCAGAAACAGACTCCATGAGGGTGGTATGAGGGCCCGACGTCCACAGGTGGGGGTTGTGCTTACAGCCCAACACCGTGCAGGACGTTTGGCATTTGCCAGAGAACACCAAGACTGGCAAATTCACCACTGGCGCTCTGTGCTCTTCACAGATGAAAGCAGGTTCACACTGAGCACGTGTGACAGACCTGACGTCTGGAGACGCCATGGAGAACGTTCTGCGGCCTCCATGGGTTGATAAATTTGATTTCCATTGATAATTTGTGTGTGATTTTGTTGGCATTCAACTATGTAAAGAAAGGAGTATTTAATGAGATTATTTCATTCATTCAGATCTCCGATGTGTTATTTTAGTGTTCCCTTTATTTTTTTGAGCAGTGTATATCATAATATAATTAACAAGCATACCACCTACCTATAATGATGATAGCTGTACCGGCCAGTAGAGCAAACAGAGTGAAGAACATCATCTGGTAGCTGTTTATGAAGCTGTGCAGGGTGTGGCCCCCCTCTATGTTACCAACTTGAAGAGGAGCTGCTGAGAGAAGGCGGTGGATAAGATCAACATGCTGTCAAAACCTCCTCAAGGTGCAGATAACAAAAAAAACACACTAACAAATATTAGCCCCGGCACTGAGGGATAACAATGCTTGTGGAAGTGAAATGTAAACTCAATGAAATGATGGTTTATGAAAGTCTGCCTTGTGTTTATGCCCTGAAGATGACAGAAATATTATTGAGCAATACACCAAGTTGTATATGTTGTTAAATTAACTAAACACAGAAAAATACTACATTCTGAAACCAAGACAATACAAAGGTTCCCTTTTTATATTTCATGCCTATTTTTAGGACTGTCAATTATTTTAAATTTTAACGACGTAAAATTAAAATATACGATCTGCAATCATTGGCAGCACTGTGGAACCCCGGCCTTTCTGTGTGGAGTTTACGTGTTCTCCTCATGTCTGCATGGGTGCATGTTAGGTAGGTTCTCCAGTTAAGTGTCATTTGACTAGACGCTGCATTTCAATCTGGAGTTGGTACCCAGGCGCTGTACAGTTTACTGCTCCCTTAGGGTGCAGTAAACTGTATAGCGCAGAGGATGAGTCTCGATACGTGTATATGAGTATCTTATCTGTTCAAAGTCAGAGTGTATAAGCACAACAGGCCGTGTCTTGTACTGCAGCAGGGTGAAAAAAAAACTGGATAGCCATGCTGTACAGGCATTTGTAACCATAAACCATACGAGAAGTAATGTGAGGAAGAATTTAGAATTTGACATTACCGCTCTAATAATATTAAAATATTACCGCTCTAATAATATATAAAAAAAAAAAAACGACCTTGTGACTTGTCATTTGCGCTGACAGGATATCTGACCTTGCTTGGCAGTGTTGGAGTCGGCCACGTGGATCGTGACTGGGATGACGAGAGTCTGGCTGCAGGAAGTGCTGCTTATGGAAATGGAGGCAGAGACCGCTGTCTGAGGGTCAACAGCGCTAACTGTGTACTTTGAGAAACTTGGGAAGTCATGGTGTACTTCCTTCTCTTGGATAGCAATGTCGGGAGATGTAGACACCACCTAAAGATGTGGAAATGTTTTATTTTGTTTTTTTTAAACAAAGGTCATGCTAAATGTAAATATGCCACAATGCCCCATTTTATTGGAGATTCAACTAGAAACACTATTTTGCCTGACCTCCATGTTGGACAGGGCGGCAGTGGGGCCGTAGACTGTGAGCTCAGCTGATGGGTGCAGGTTCGAGAGCAGCAACTCGGTCTGGTCAGAGTAGAGGCCTGGCTCTATAGGCAGCACAGTGCTGACTTGTTCCCCAGAGAAGGCACTGCCCTCCAGGACTGCCCTCACTAGCAGGTTGGTCATGGACATGCTGAGCACACGGGTTTGTTGGTCAGTCATTGGCTGCAAAGTCATGGAACACGTGTAGTGGCCTGGGGCAAGAATTCACAGTGGGAAATGGGATGATTAGATATATTATTGATGTGGGCAATCAGGACAAGAAATGATTAGGAATGTCCTAGTGAGTCGATGTGGTCTCAAAAAAAAAGGTACAAGTAACATAAAAGCAATATATATTCCCAGTCAGTTCTAATCTCTGAATTTGTCAGGCAGGATCATTTCACAATCACAAGTTCCCATTAGGACTTCAGTGGGACTTAGCTGAGTGGTTACAGCCTTGTACACACACAGGGGATCCCCATCAGAGATAAGTCAACAACTGGGGTGAAGTCCCAAACCCCAAACATAATTAAACCAGTGCTTTCAAGAAATAGGGACCCACCTCAGTTCAATAAATCACCTGGACACTTTTTATAGTTCCTGCTTAATTCATTCCAAAAGAAATGCAGGTATTGATTATGCCCTTGTAAACAGTATTTTCCCAACAGTCATGCAGAGCATGCACACAAACAGTGTGCCTAGGTTAGGTTTAAAAGTAATTTTATTTTGGAAAAAGGAAGGCTTCCAGAAAGGTAGAAAAGAACGTATGAATGTCAAATAAATAAATGTCAGAATGAACAGATAGTCTTCAACCAATAATTTAAAACAATAAAAAAGGGACAATCCATGATCTAAGGGTAAAAAAAAAAAAAAGAAAAATAATAGCCCAAACACCAAATTCAAAAATACAGGACTGGACCCTGCTATGATGCTCTAAATTAACACAACATTAGTCATCTCAATGTTACATCAGTGCCATTTGTAAACACAGGAGTAAATAAGTCCTCTGATTCACTGCTTCTTCGACAATGATTCTCTCACATCAGCCTTACCAATGCTGGGGTCAAAGCTGGTGTGTGTTTTGAAGACACCATTAGCAGAGAAGTCAACAGCCTCACTGGTAAAGCTGAGATGGCAACTGACAGAGGTTTCTGGCTTCAGCTGAGAAATTGCTTCAGTCTGGGAAGAGGAACAGGTTCCTGCAGGGTAGAGCACACTGGCATGATATACAAAACCTTTGTGCTTCATTACACACACTAACATTAATATATTTTTTTATTAATGACACAGATTTATTTATTTATTTAGTATTTTGGTTTTTAGAAGGGCAGTTTGACATTTTGTGAAATACACTTATTTACATTCTAGTGGAGAGTTAGAAGAGAAGATTGAAACCACTCTCATGTCTGTCCTTTAATTATGAAGCTACAGCCAGGAGCAGCCAGTTTAGCTTAGCACAAAGACTGGCAACTGGGGCAAGCTTCATATTTACCATACAAATGTAAGAGTGGCATGGTTCTTCTCACATAACTCTCGGCAAGGAAGTTCCCCAAAATGATGAACTACTCTTTTAAGTAATGGTCCACTAAAACTGAGTCTGTTCCATACCAACGAGGTTGGTTCCTCTCTCTCTGGTAGTGAGTTGGACCTTTGTTTCCTTGCCGTTCCTGACAGGTGTAGCATGCGCCATGGCTGCTGTCCTTGTCGCTGCTTCTACTACTACCTACGGAACCAAAGAGAAAGAAAACAGCCAATAAATCCTAAAGTGATTCAAAGTGTGTGCTTGGAATAATCACGTTATAATTTACATCCACAACTGTTTACATCAATCACACTGGACAGTCAGTTAACCAAAACAACTGGGTGTTTAATATAACAATACTGCTACCTCTATCAATGTCTCTTCTCACACGGATTAGAAAAAAAAAAACATTTTCATTCAGTTCATTTTATTAAAATGCTTGTGGGCACCTTTCTGTTTAAGATAAAATACCCCGCACCAAATCTAATCAATTCTTGTTTAAGTAACAGGAAATATTCATATACTATTGCAGGCTACATTCAGCTCACGAGCATGACTGCATAGAGTATGGGGACACACTGAGGCAGAGCCAATTAATCCTTTCCAGCGGTAATGTCAAGCACAGACACATTATGCAGAAACAATGTGTGTTGCTGAAAGGTGATGATGGATCCTAAAACATGTTGTACTCTTCTCGTTATGATATATTGCTGAAGGATTAATACAGTGCGACGCACTGGCATAGAAGATCAAAATCTCTGGAGAAGAGATGTCAAGAGTAGAAATAAAGAGACCAGTGACGTTAGCATAATTACAACACTCAGAATCTGTTGAAGGGAAACAATTCCAGGGATTTCTTTTTCACAGTCTGTCAGTATAGCGTTGCAGGTCAGATAGTAGTTACTACCTACAAATAACATACCTCTCTGTATGTTTTCAAAATACCAGGTATCTCATAGTACACAGTAACTGTCCCAGAATCTCTGGCTACTGCTGCACCGCTTTTAGGGTCCACCTGAAGAACGCCATTAGATGAGGAGCTCCAAGTACCATGACCACCTGCAAAGAAGGGAAGATAATGTCCAGCTTTTAAAAAAGATATACACTTTGCTAAACTAAAACAGCTTATAGTATGCAAGGTCAAAAAATAATAGGGATCTCCTCAGCAAAAAGATGTACTAAAGTTCAAATTGACTTAAGATAAATAGGTATTTTATCCTTAAAGGAAATGAAATAAAATTAAGTGCTGAAAATATGCTTCTGATTCCACTTAACCACAGAAAACAAATTAAATAAAATTCTACTGCATAAAGATTGTGGAAGAACACAAATTAGATATTACATAACTAGGGCTGTTCTTTCTGTTCAAAACAGTTATTTTCTGATCACACATATACACAATATAGTACGTCTGTAGATCTCTCACCATCTGAGCTGGTTAACTGGGCAGCGAAGCAAACCACATCCCCCACCACCAGTCTGTGGGCCTCATGTGGGTGGATAGCATGCTCGACAGGTAGTGGAACATAGTCCGCCACACCCACATTTTCACTGTCCCACACTGCAAGAAGAGTGAGGCCTACGTTGATCGTCCTTACTGTCAGAGTGTGGTTACCAGGCCCAATCCCCACCTGCACTAGGTCATCTCTGCAGGACAGAACAGAGGTACAGAGGTTTTTAATCTATTTAAAGACTGTACGGGGAAACAATTAGAGACAATTTTGTACTAGAAAGCGAGAGTATGGACAGTTACAGCTACCAGAATTACATATTAAAACATGCCAGTATTATTTTAAGACAGACTTGAAAAATTGTAAACATATCCTTTAACACAATACACATTAAGTTATTGTAACTTAGGTTCAGGAAAAAAGAAGAAGTGGAACTAGCTACGACACCCCATGCTCCTGTCATTTATCATTTAATCCTTTCATCCACAACCCTCAGTTATGCCCCCACACTCCTTCATTCCAATAAACTAATTTGTAAACATAAATGGCATTGTCTTTGTTACCAGAGGACTTGTATTGGGTAAAATTTGGGCCAATCATATTAGAAAAAAAAAAAACAAGCTATTGAGAAGAGTTTTGAGAAAACAACATTTTGTTTTCCTGCTACAATAAAAAAAAAAAAAATCCAATTAGCTCCTTGGAGACTCAGCAGGATCTAATCATAGGCCAACCCCTTTTACCACTCCGATTTGATACTTTCCCCCTAAAATTCTCTGTCGGCACCTGGAGAACAAGTTAACAGAATCAATTTATTGTGCAGACAGATAAGGGAGTCCCTCAGGAGAGCAGCAATGCCCCTCCCTGCCCGACACTGCCATTAATTTAGCTCACTCATCCAGATGGAAACGTCGTCATCTGAAATGAGTTTGAAGGAACAGCCCACTAAATTAATGTTGTGAACTCTGTGCATATGCACAGCCTGCCACTAAACCCTGACATGACCTCAACTACTCTGGTTGTACTGTATTAGATAACAGATATTAACGCACACAGTCTGAACAAAGAGGAATCGTATGGCGTATCATTGCACTGGCTAAGTATAGAAAATATTGTTAGTGTTGTGGATTTATCTTGGGTTGATCAATATCATAAAATTACACCATGTCAAATATAAATATATATATATATATATATATATATATATATATATATATATATATATATATATATATATATATATATATATATATATATATATATATATATATATATATATATATATATATATATATATATATATATATATATATATATATATATATATATATATATATATATATGTTTAAAATAAATGAATAAAATCAATATTGCGTTGAATCGTTGTTTGCCATTTTAACATTATAACGTACAGAACAATGACGGATAAATGGTGTCCAAATAAAAAAATATTTTCTGTTTAGCTGGTAGAGGGGGAGAGGTTTGTGGGTTGACATGACTTGTCCAGCAGAATTTGAAATACGGAGAGACAATAGGTCACGCAAGGCTGGGCGAGGTTGCACGAACAGACCACTCAAAGAGAGACCTTGGTACTCACTCTCTATATAAATATATATAGCCCAGGACAGCAGGATAATAGCTTTTCAACCTTGGGGCACAAAGCAAACTGAAAAACATATCCTCCTCCTTCCTCTGCTTGTCTAGAAGTTATGTTTCACTCATTGAGTCACACTGTTTAAGAATGCATGAATTATGTCAGTGACTGCAACTCCTGAAACATAATGAGAAGTGTTAAAAGGCCTATATATTTTGTGGTGATACCTGTTTGTGGAAAACGTAAGGTGGGAGTTGGAGCTGTGTAGGGCCTCTCCAGTACTGGCATGAAAGTGGACAGTGAAGGTGAGCACTGTGCCCAGAGGGAAGGCCTTCAGTCTCTCTCTGGTGTGCGTGTAGAGCACTGGACTGGTACTGAAACGTACGTAGGACACAGGCACCACCTGAGGGATGAAAGGAAAAACAACCAGTTGTGCACTTAGTAAAAGCAGGGACGATGTTAATGGTCATTTAATAGTCATAAGTGAAAACTGCAAAGGTAAACGGGATTTTTTTAACTTTAGAATTATGGTTGAATCATTAAACAGCCCCTTTAGGATTTCGCGGGGCTAACCCTAACCATGCATATTTAAACAATGGCCTGTGTCAAAGCGATTTGTCTCGTCGGACGTCCTCTATGTGTTTCTGTCATCCTCCAAGCATGTTTTGCGGTGGCAATGTGTTTGTCAATAGACGATTTCTTTTATGTTCGACCACAATAGTGCACCTTTAGCAAAACAGTTTACCCCTGCTTTGGTGAAGAACATCTAGATACTGTTTTTCACGTTCCTTAGCTGTTATTTTTTTTGTCGGCAAATGTGAGACGCCGGTATCACATGTCTGCTACGTCTTGTAAACAAGGAAGTGACAAGCTGACGAATGACATCGTTTTGCAGGAAACGGCAATGATGGGTCAAATTGGCCGAAAAGTTGAGGTGATAAGTCAAAATTGAAAGTTGCGCCTAATGCACAGGGATTGTTGAATTTGTGTTAATAGTTGCGACATCGGGAAATCCTGGAAGGACTGACTGGTTCAGAATGATACATTGACAACATTTTTAACATGCTATATAAAAATGTATGATATCAGAATGTCCCTTTTGTATTCTTGCTAGGGCCTCACACAGAAATACTGAAAGATTTAGGGGCAGAATGCAAAACGGAAAAACATCTTTTTTCCTTTATAGCCATGCACTTTCTATGTGAAACCAAACTGAAAAACAAAAAAAATAGCCTAGATGTACAGTAGATGTGAATGTCTTATGGTGTGTTCAGACCGAATGCGAATCCAGTGTTTCGCACGGCTTGTTAACATACAAAGTCAATGCAAAGATGCAAATTCATGCAAATTCGCTCTGGGTGGTGCGGAAGATGTGTTTGTTGCAACAATCACTGGTTCACTCAAGTTCAAATTTTTCAACTTGATCGAGAAATTCACATGATGCCATGTTGCGAAAGCCCATCTGCGGTGAGATTGTCCAGACGTCACTGACTGGTTCAGAGCGTTGCAGTGGCCGACGGAGAACTGCTAAACTACGGGGAAGTGTAGAAGAAAGAGCCGGGAGCACACCCATAGTCGGTCTGGATTCAGCACTGACAACTAAACCATTTACCAGCAGGAGGAGCTCAGAGTTAACTGCTTTTATTACATTAGATTTTTACTTTAGTTTTTGGGATTACAACGTTGATTTATCTTCACTCGAGCTTCTTAGCATAAAGCTTCCGTGTATTTCCGGTTCCATGTGTTGTTAGCGTCGGTGGGCACCCAGAGTTCTGTGGGACTACTACTTAATATTTATATAAAAAAAACAGATAAAACTAGACATTGCTTGGAGAAAAGAAAGCGAGGAAGTTGAACTACCTGGTGAGTTCAGAAAATGTGTGTCCGGCTATCATTGTACTTTACTGTAAACAAGTTAGCATAGCATAGCCCTGATCCATCCAAACTCCATTCAGAAAACAAACATTTAATAAGTTGTTGTCCTACTGACAGACCTGACAAAGTGCGCGCATATATACACACATACGTGTGTGTGTGTGTGTGTGTGTGTGTAGATAGATATCTCTCTCACACACATACACATCTCTCTCTCTCTCTCTCGACATATTGAAATAATTTCGATTGTGAGTTTGATCCAGTTATTGCAAATAAATCACAGTAAAATGTTTACTTTAGGTTCATTCAGCTGTAGTAATTGCAGGTTGTGTTTTTTCGCCTTATCGTGTTGTGTGTGAACACTTGGCAGTTGTCCAGCGATAAAACCCCCGCAAGGAAAGAGTCGCAAGGATTTAATTTGCATTGTATGTATACACCATTATATATTAAGACAAGCTGCTTGAAGTAACCACAAACATCTACCCTTTGGGAGGCACAATTCTTTAGCTCTGCAGAGCAAATCACAAACTGCTGTATCATGATTTAGTGTTTAATACATATTAATTAATGGGTGATCTGAAACATAAAAAAGGTTCAGCAAACTAGCATAAACAGCTTATATGATGAACTACAAACAAGCGATATTTGAGATGGATTTCAGTGTTAACGTGCAACAAAACCTTATCTGAAAATGATATGAAATACCTTTCATGAAATGGCTCTCAAACTGACCTTCAAAGCAAGGATGAGAGTTTGATTGACACCAAAGGTCTCTTGTGAAGTGATCAGCAGAGAGGAGATGCCAGTGAGAGAACCAGAGAAGAGGAAGCCCTTATCATCCACTTGAGCGATAACAACCTGGTCAGGGCAATCCAGCATCCGGTAAGAGAGTGTACCCACACCATCCCTATTAGATAGAGAGAAACACAATCGCAAGTTGATCTGAGTTCTCTACACGTTTCATCATCATCATTTTGCATTGTGAAATGAAAGTTGTTGGAGAAATTCACACGTGTCTGCGCACATGGTTTTAGAATAGACAGAAACCACTGTGCAGGCACTTGTAACTCACCTGTTAGTTTGGAGTTTGAGGGCTGAGTTTGGAGCCATCAGTAACTCTCCAGCCTCCACTTCAGGATTAAGCATGTGTAGTTTGTCATAGACCTTGATCAAAGTAAAATGTTGAAACCAATTATTAGAGGGCTTTAATCATTCTTTGATGCGTCGGCACTAGTGACATGTCATAGTTTAATGCAGTTTGAAGCTGGATGGATTCAGCTCCAACTAATCTGCAGTCTTATCACTTCACAAAGTTAACAACTTCAGATATTCCAAAGCTCAGCAACTTCAGCTGCTCAGCCCTACTGAATATACCGTATTTATAATACTGGTGCTCAGGACACGCAGATACGCTGTTTACAGCAGTGCTTTTTCCCCTAGGTGTTTGTGAGTTTAAGCCACAGTGCTGTACCTGTATCTGTATCTCATCTCTTAGCTCATGCAGATTCCCCAATAGTTGTCCAGCCTTGGAGTCGGTAACTTTGAGCACCACGTTCAGCCCTGTCCTCCCTCTCGTTCTTCCAGTTACCCTCATGCCAAAGTTGTGCGCAGACTGGAGCTCCACGTTAGCCTAAAGGAGACAGGCGCCATTATGAGAATGGCAGAAATACTATAATTCAGGGAGAGCACATCTTAAGTCCAACTGATAGACAGAGAGAGACACCAGGAGCTAAAAATAGAAACAGTTCAGTGGCAGAAACTGCATGTGATATCAAATGCAAGATGGAAAATCCTGAGTGAAGGGTACCTCAATGTGTCTTGGCTGGACATCCAGGATGTCTCTCTTGGTGGTGGACCAGTGGAAGGTGAGGCCAGGTACAGCACTGCCAAAGGAGAAGGGTGTTTGACTATTGGTCAGACCCATCACATATACAGGCATCTAGAAAAGGAAAGAAGATGAATGAAGTCAATCGGTGAGTACAATATTGCCCACAGAAAGTGATCAATGAATTTATTTCGAGTTAATTGCAGTGCTATTTTAAGCAGGGATTCTTAGACTTAAGGCAGTTTTTATATTGTAGTTCTTACCTGTGCTCCTGTCTTCATTCTTGTGATAGGTGCCCTGATTCGAATGGCCGTCAATTGCACCACCTCAACTTCTACTTGATCCTGCAATTACAAAATAAGCTTTTCATTTATAAAATCCAAGTTAGACATACACCAGTCCACATCATCTATATATATATATATATATTTACCTGAGACACAACGATTAGCTTGCCAGTCTCTGCATCAACAGCTTGGACTAGTCCAGTCACAGTGACATTACCAATAGTACCACCTCTGACATGGCCCATGCCATTAACAGAAGCTATCTTCTCATTAGAAATAGAGAAAAGGATATTGGACTGAGGCTGAGGGCCACCCTCAGATGTGATCTATAAATGAATGAAAAAGGGATGGGTAGTTTGAATGAGAGCAAAAGAGAACTGAGTATCACTCTTGCATGATTGATCTTGACAACAGTGACAGTTTCTTCAATAGCTTTCATCAGTGCAATGCCTGATAATTTGCTGAAAGCCATTATCCTTTGTGTACTAAACTAATCAAGATTAGAAAAATGGAGATCCAACACAAATAATGTGCAGTGCATGTGTATTACGAAGTTTGATGTTAAGCAATTAGGAGGCCACTTGGATAGATGGTAAATGCTTTCTAATTAAAGCACGAGTTGAGGCAAATGAAAGGCGAGCTGGATGTTTAAACCAAAAGCAATTAGGCTAACGTCATCTTTCAGAAGAGTCCTGGCAGAGGGCTTTTTTGGAAGATAAACTGAGGACCAGATGAACTCTTCTGGCAAGATGAACTGAGGCCAGCTGTTTCCATACAAAGCCTAAGCATCAATATTATACATACCTGCATCATTGCTCCAATTAACAAAGTCATTTTCCTTGGGATGAGTTTGAATGGTGGAAATACCTAGAAGTTAAAGAAAAAGTTACAAGATGTGCAACATATGCAAGAGCCAAAATTTGACATTTTAGAAATCCAACAAAATTATACCTCAATTTGCTGAGGTGCGGATGCAATTTTTCTCCCATTTTTATCCACAACAACAGCTGAGAGAGTGGTCTGACCAATTGAAACCCCTTTCACCAGGAAAACAGCTGTATCATTTTCTGTGGATTCCACTAATGATCTGCAAAAAAAACGACATGTCAAAATTTAGATGAAGCCTTGCCAGTTCTAAATCCTCAACTTCACATTACTTACTTTAGAGAGACTATCGCAGAAGCTGCCTTGAGTTTAAGATTCATGAAATGGAAATAGCTGGCTGGGAAGGGCTTCTTATTATCATCCAAGACTCTGACATAGGCTCTCACAGACTTGCCAATCTCCACCTGTAATACAGATGAATGACATCCATCATTAGGGAAATAATCACTTCGGTTCACAGGCAGGGCAATCCTAATGATGCTAATTCAGGACAGGGTGACTTTCATAAAAATTGGGAAAGTAATGCTAGAAGATGACAACCATGTATGGTGCTCAGACATCATTGGGGCATTTCAGGAATGTGTGGTACCGATAATAGGGATCATCTAGTCAAGTAGTGTCTGGTCCCTCCAAAATGAGGTATTATGGGGCCGGAAACTGACCTTGTCAACCACTCGCACATAAACTTCCAGGATGTCAGAAACATATACGGTGGCCTTGGCAGGTGCTGGAAATGCTAAACAAAGGTCATGGACCATGACCTTCACCTCCCCTGGGTGGATGGGAGAAACCTGAGCACACACAGCAAATCAAAGTGATATTATCAAATTCTCAAATCTCTGCATTCAATGGAGTATTTTTGAGCAGTATGGATTTCTTGGAAATTACACAGTATGTTGTTCAATAGGACTATTGTGTATTCTCCTGAACTAATCCCACCACATACAGTTCAGATGTTCCTCCTTACCTGAGCAGTTCCCTGGGCCTCCTGAAATACCACATCCACTATTCCTTTAACACTGGTATTGACAAAAAAATAACCGGAACCTTCTCGCAGGGCCAAGCTTGCCTGAAAAATAAAATTAAATCAGTGCCTTGTAACAGTGCTAAAAATTCATTTACAGTTCACTTGTGTTTTTCTGACAGCCAGCTGGCCTTGCATGTGACATCAAAGGGGGGCTCTGACTGCAATCACTCTTTAAAATCCTCTTGCACAGGTCACTAGCTGTTACTTAACCCCCACACCTGCCAAACACTGCTCCTATATCACACAGGATTAGGAGAGGGAGGCCCACTGAGGTAGGTCAAGGGATATTAATTTTCCACTGTGTAATGGAGCAATGATTAACTTTTAAATTAATTCAATTGTTAATAGTGTGATTAACTTTATTTCCATTTTCTGTTCTGCATGGTAAAACTACTAAATAATATCCTTAATGATGAAATATCTAGGGCTGTACATAACGATTATATTTGTTGATTAATTTAATGACTAATTTTGTGTATTCTAAAGAAAAATATTTACCTATTAGTCGACTAACATATCAATTTATCCAATATAAATATCAAAAACATGTATAATCAGTAAATCAATATTTTATTCAATCATCCTGATGAAGCACATTAGAATAACGACAATAGTAGCAAATCTTAAAATGAATCAAATTTCCACGTCACTGATGTGTTGTGATAATAACAACAACAGACATTAATTAGACTACTTTACTTTAAATGTTTCTGACATGGATGCATTTCAATATTGAGTAATATGCAGTATGATAACCATTACATACAACAAGTCACAGATTGTAATGTTGATTCAGCTGTTTTCTCACTCATACGTGGCCGTTAAATAAACAGAAAATATGAAACGGCCGAACATTAGATGACACACGGTCTAACCTTACATTACCATGACAGCAGCGGGCAGAAATTACTTTTAACATGAAGGTGATGAAGAAATACTTGGAAAATGCATTTTAACGGACTACGTGTGATCATGCTGATAATGTGCCATGCTCGTGTGGAGACAGAAACTAGCTGCCGCTAGTGCTCCGCGAAACTTTCGCTTCACGTGAGAAATCATAGACTGTATATAAAAAGAGAGAAGCTCACGGAGCGAGCACCACATTGTTGAGTGTCTGTCCTAAAATACTCCCAAACTTTAGCCGGTCAAAGGTGCGATCTTGTAGCTGGAGCTTGTCTGGGAATCCCACTAACACCGGATGCAGCTACGCTTCGACACACGTAATGCGAGTCGAAATATTTACATAATCGATTATGTCAACTATGTCGACAAATCGCCCCAGCCCTAGAAATATCTAATGCTAATTTACTTCAGTAAAAACAAGCCATGAAAAGCTAGTGTGTCTGTCAGTATTCTGGGTAAAGAGGTAACCCAGTGATATGTAGTGAGGCCACAGTACTAATAAATCTGCCCCTTACCTGCACATCAGGGTGGTTGTATATGGTCACTGTGTCAGGGGAAACTTTCACATCTTCAACCAACAGGAGCTCCAGTGTGGCTGAGACAGGGGTCAAGGGGTCAAACTGTCCATAAGAAGAATAAGAGTTAGAAAAGAATTAGGGTGATGGTTACAAAGGTAAATATTAAACCAACATCAAATACAGTATGCTGTACAGTAATGTCAGATTATGAAGGCAAAACTGGGTGTATTACTGAAAGTAGGAAGCAAGTTGAAGCTGGAACAGATGAACAATAGAAGAATCTTACTTATCACATGTAAGTGCAAGTTTATTGTTAAACAGCATCAATAAAAAAAATTATAACCTGCACACCAAGTCCAACAACAAAAATTATTTAAATGGTCAACATTTCCATCACAGTCAGATCTTCATTCCTCTCAAAAAACTTCATGAATGGGAACAAAATGTTCACAGATCAAAAGCCTGTAACTGATATTTTTTTGTAATTATGTTCAGTTGCTTCCGCTTTTTAAGAGGAAGTGAAAAACTGTTTTTTGACGTTACAGTGGTTGAGCTACTGTTTTCACTTACTGGACTGGGAACGTTGGCTGCTGTGAGATGTGAAGCCTGGTACTCCAGAGCTGTCACTGTGATGGCTGCAATGCCTGTCTGATGATGGACAAGAACTGTCCGACGTCCTGCCACATTTAACAAAAACAAAAAAAAAACAGAATCAAAACAGTAATTATGCAAACACCAATCCAAAGTATTTGTCATCACTAATCTATAGAAACTGACAGTAAAAAGACAATAAAAAATGTATTCCCAGCAATAGGTGAATGGACAATTCCCTGTCTGCATTAAATCCTGCCAGAGCTTTCTCTCCTGCTTTTACCTCATTACTTTCCAAATATCTAAACAAAGGGGTAAAGTTAAGCCGAAAACCCACTCTTTCTTAAAAACACACAAAAAAAGAGTCACAATGTTTTACCGTGAAGTTTCATCTGTTTGTTGCCTTCCTCGAACAGTAGAAGCTCCATGGGCATAGAAGGTTCAATACTGGCCACTGACACCATGGTTGATTCCCACAGCATGCTCAGAGAGCTGAAGTTGTCAAACTTCCTTCCTTGTTGATCAAAAGCAGCCATGTCCAAAATGGGGTTTCGGTAATTTGAAACAGGTACCTAAAAAAAAACAAAGTATTGATCAATTCATTTTATGAAAAAATATTGTAGATACGCTTGCAGTCGACATTGACTACCAGCTATATACAGCATGCTAGCCTCGAAAACCCAGGTGTATTCTGACTATAACTTAGCTCTCCTTATTAGCTAGGCTCCTTACATGCTTGCTAATAACTTTTTTAAGCTGGGTCTCCGAAATTGATAGCGCTGTGTTGGACAGATTTGTGCAGCTATGTTCACCAGGGAGAGCAAGAGAGAGAAAGACGGGTGAGGATGTGCTGCGCTAATGCGCTATGCCGCATTGCATTCAAATACGATTTCAAATAGGCCTAGTAAAAAATGTTTTTTAAAAGTTGAAAAATCAATTTGTGGCGGTCAGCATTGATATTGTGGCAGGCCCGCCACAAATAAATGAACGTATGGTAAACACTGACATACATACCACTTGTTTGTTCTGCTGCAGCAGTGGGCAGGTCAGGTCCAGCTGTGGGCTGGTATACACTGGGACCAAGGTGAAGCGAGACGGAGGGGCACATACAAACTTGACGACTGCTGGCTCCACAGCAGGATAAGGATTGGTCACACTGGGCTTGTTTCCCACCATCACCTCCAGCACCTGAAAAAAACATAATGACAACTCAGTTAACGTTGATGACAAAATACTACAGTTGTATATGTTTAACCATTCTGAGCCATCATAGTACTACAGTGACGACACGCCTGTGGTAATATGAATGTAGGTAATTATAAAGCTTGGATTTCAAGCTATTGTTTTTATTCTCAAAGTACAAGAAAAAAAATGTGAGGAAATATAACCACAGTTCTATAGTTGCTGGTATGAATAGTAAAGAGAAACAGCATGATTTCAGTAGTTCCCACCTGTTCTCCCAGGGCCCTGCAGGTTGCTCTGACCCAGTGCTGATTGTAGTTGTGAGATGAGGGACTGGTCAGAGTAAGGCTCACACTGGCCTCATCCTCAGCTCTCAAGTTGCAGAAGAACTTTGAGGGCTCTAAAACCCAAGGTCGTGGCCCGCCGTCAAACAACATGTCTTTGGAGGATCCCAGGGTTACCACGGCCACAGATACGGGGTCAATCGCCTGCCAAATAACATCAATTTATTATGAAATCTAGAAGTTCATAGAGTTACAGCTGGATGCTTTGAGGAAGAAATTCTTTTACAAATGTAAACAAGGGGACCAAGATGTAATAACACAGAACATAGAAAAAACTAAAGAGACTGCAATGTAAAAGTAAAAGCAGATATTTATTTACAAGCCTGGGCCTTCTAGTGTTAAGTGGCACTTAAGCTTAAGCTGGAGAAATGCTAAGCTGAAATACACAGTATTTCACAGTAAGAAAGAAAATTGGGTCAATCTTTAGCTGCCAGGGCAAAAGAAGTGAAGAAACATCACAAACATGTCTGCAATATTTTGAAGAATACTACTCAATCCTATGATTAAATATACATAACTTCAAAAGTGGTGCATCAAACAAGCATGTTACTGTACTGAAAACCTGAATGTAACATGAAAGACAGCCATAGCTATCAGTGGTTCATGAATGACAAAATATTTTAGTTGAGAGATTTGGTTACCTCATCATAATATGTATGATGCTGTTAAATTCAGTACATCTACAGTTACAACAGCTTGGATGAATGAAGAAATTTCATTCCTGTGCAGTACTAGAGCTCAGGCGCAGAAAAACAGTGTAGCAAGTGTATAATGCATAATTAAAATGCAGAGAGGAAACCCAGGAGGCGAACATTTTAACACTTGCTGATCATCGCATTTCTGCCATGACTGCAAGAAGAGACTGTGTGTATGAATGTGCACATGCCCGCATGAGTGACTTTGTTTCCTAGCTAATTGGTGATTTGTGGTGAGCTGAAAAAAAATTAAGCAAATCAAAACAAAGGTAAAGTTCAAGATTACTACACCCTGCAGAAACCTTATAGCATTCAAAAAGAAAATGTTAACACTAAGTTTTCTATTAAATAAATCACTAAAAATGTACCTGAGGCCTTGAGAAGTATCCACTAACAGGGCAAAATTATACATCTAAAGTTCATGATAAGCAAGGTCCTAGAACAACAAAACCATTGGACTCACTCTGAGAGGAAGATAGGCAGCAATGGTGATCTTGGCACTGAGGTGAACGTTGCCGTGGGTGTAGCTGACAGTTAGCATGGTGTACCCAGGGGCCAGGGCTTTGGCTCTCACCCCACTGCAGTGGTCCTGGCCTGGAGCCATCCTCCCTGGATCAGGACAAAGAAGTGTTGGAGGAAGCCAAAGAGTTTGAGAGAATTGCAATATGACAATGTACAAATAACCACAACTGTTCACACAGGTGTACTCATTTATCTCTTATCTCCCCCCACGCAAGTACAGTGGTCTTGCTTGTTTTTGTCCCAGTCCACTCTTCTGATTAATAATGCAAGATTCTGAAATTAAAGACCGTACATCTTACCAAAAGAGGAACTTTCAAAGAGATAAATGTTGTAATGAATATCTGAAAGCCATAAAAAATGTAAAATGCTTCAGTGTTAGATAGGATTGTGCCATACTGTTTGTCAAGTACAGGCTACGTGTTTCGCAGTGAATTTATTTGGTGGCAGACTAATACGATTTGCCAAAAAATATATTCTGGTACTCATATTTCACATTTTAAAGTTTCCTGCACTAGTGCTTTGACGGGAATTTGTACAGATTTATTAGTTATTACTGCAACAACCACAATGAACACAAGGGGTGCCCCTCCTACATGGCACACTGGACTGTACATCAGTAAGCAGACAACACATTTTCATTAAAGAAAGTGAGCAACATAATTACTGTCCTCATATTAGCCCCACATGTATGTTCACTAAATAAACCATACCCTCAATACACTTTCATGCCTGCCTCGGGTTCTTGAAAAACACAAAACAGAGTGATCAGTGAATGAGCATCCATTGGTTAGTGCCCTTAACTGAATGCCATTCAACCTGGAGTCCATGAGCAATGAGTCATGATCAATATGTGATGAGTAAACCAGCTGCTACACAACAGGATGTGTGTGTTCATTTTATTTTTTGGAACATTTGTTGCATCACAAAATATGATCAGGTCAGATCACACAGACTAACCCTGTAGCAGTTGGAAGACGCCGTGGTTCTCCTCTTCAACCTGCAGGTCAAAGTGGGAGCAGTCGCTTAACATGACCCGCTCTTTCTCCACTTCCTCCAGCAGACCTAAAATCCGGAGGGGCAGATCCAGAACCAGGCCCACCCTGGCCTCTACTGGGCAGGGAGCAAAGTCCATGGCCACGGGCTCCACAACATACACCTGGGGGAGAACAGGATCAAAGAGGTATAAAAGAGTGATTGAAGGCTGGGAGTGATAGTAAAATGGGGAGATTCAAACTATACGACTGCGATTTATTTTTACGGCTACACATTTAAGTTAGATTATTAGGCCTATACATCACAATTTTATGTTTTCATGAATAATAACACACTTTGTAAATGATCCATTATCTGTCGTTATCTGACCTCCTCACATATATGAAATACTTCCATTAGATATGACAAATCAGTCTTTAATAAAAATGAAAGCAGAACCAATCCTGACTTATATACAGCAACAAAGTGAAATAAAATCCAAAGTCCAAACTTGGAGAGTTGTTCAAGCTCTCCCAAATAAAATATTGAAACTGTTTTCAGTTCCAAAAAGGTGATTAATATATTTTACAATACATGTAAAACCCAATGATGCCAAACAAGTAGGTACCATTTTGAAAAGAAAAAAAAATGAAAGATTCTGTAAAAAGGAAACAGTATGTTAAGCTAAGGTGCTAAAGTGCAATTGATAATCATCCTGACTATAAAAAGGGATACAATTAGTAATCAAAGCAATCAGGATTAGAATTTGTGTCATAACTAAGTTTTCCAGGTCAACGTACCTTCATCTGGCCAAAGTGTAGTGGGTTGCGTAGATCGTGAGCATAAACTACACTGAGGCCAATGTCACTGACTGTTGTCATCACTCCTTTCACAGTCACTGTGGCGACAGCTGTATTGGAGGAAGACCAGCTGAAATTTCCACTCCCTCCTGTCGCCTGTCACAAGCACCAGAAAATAGGAGTCATTATGTGCACCAGAATGACACCACTCAGTGCCAAAAACATGGGTGTTATGGTAAAGTATGAATAAGAGTAATTGCAACTAAGTCTGTCTCATACAAAAGGTGTCACATGCACGACACTTGTGACAGATTAAAAGCCATTCAAGCACCAAGTCTGTATGTATTCTGAAAAGGAATAATTACCTTTATTGTGTACTGATAAGCTCCAACCTTGGGCTGCCATGGAAATGTGAGAATACTGGGACTAAGCACTATAGGGTTATATATTTCTACATCCTGTTCATTGTGGACTGGGTTGGCGAGTGTGTGGACCCTTCCAGTCTGAAAGAGAACAGAGGACACAGGAAATGTTCAAGCTCTCTTTTCTCAAGTGGAAAAAAGGGGTCCAAGGTTAATGCAATAATGATGATCCAGCTGAAACACAGGCTGCTACGAGTCACAGTTGCAATTAAACTCACTTCATCCACGACAGCTTTTAGAGTAGCATCAATGAGAGTTAGGCCTTCTTGGAGCGCCTTGACGCGATGATATGATCCATTCTGAGAAGACTCCAGGAGTTCAAAGTACTCCGCAGGGAAGCCAGTGCCAATACGGACATTCTGCAAAATCAAAATAAACCACACGCAGATTTTTAAACCTCTGCCTTTGTATGCCTCTGGAAAGACGCCTGGTTTAAAACTTTTACAGACTCTGAGGTCATTTTTTAATGTTGTCAAGATCTTGATTTGTTCATACTTTAATGATGACCATTGTCTCATAACCGGATTGAAATATTGGCTAATAAAACTCACAGGCTAGCGAAGAAAGGCTCAATGTGCACTAAATCTCTTGTCTCTCAGATGCCTTTCAGACTGCAGCTGATTAAAGATGACCAAGGTTTGGTTTTCAGTTTTCCATTATACATGAACTAGGAATATCCTATTCCAATTATTTGAAAGCAGGCCCGATATCACCACTAATAAAAACAAGCAAGAAAAACAGTTTAGACTGCTTATATAACTACAGCAGAGGCTGTGTTCTTTACTACTGATGAAATGTGAACTATCTGATATTAATCGACAGTTACAACACCACAATGCTGGTCACAGAATTTATTTTAGAAGAATACCTTTCGGACTTTCCCAATTACTGTCTCATGCTCCAGTGATATATTCAGCATTCGCACACAAATACACACAAATGATCATAGTGACTTTAATGAAGCATACTTACATCAGAGAGGTATATTTTTCTGCCGGATTTATCAAATACTTCAATGAGGATATCATAAACTCTGCCTGTTTCAAGAACCCAGCTGTCCCCTGGATGGATTTTAAAACCTAAACAAATTACAGAGAAAACAGGAGGTTAGCTACATCTTTTAAGTATGGAGACTGTGAAACATTTCTCATTATGTTTAAATTGTGAGAACAAGATACAGACCTAGGTAGCCTGGTTCAACCACATACAGCGTGCTGTTGGGTAGGTGAGACACTCCTTGCATTCGAAGGCCTAAGTAGATGTTACTAAGGAAAAGTATGCAAGGCACACATATACAAGAACAGCTCTAAACTTACTTGCCTAATTTTTGTTAAATGCACAATAACTAGTTAGTATTTTAAATCAGACTCCTCACAGATAGAAAACTAACTTTGGTGTAAAAACACCAGTCATGCTGATGTTAAGGCAAAGTACACAACATTACAATGACTTCTACAGAGTGCAAGTACGATTTGTCAAAAGGATACTCTTGTGATCCAGCACCACGTTGATGTGTCCCAGTTGAACTGCCGTAACTTTGGAGGTGCTTTGATCCAGACTGGCCACAGCAACGCCTTGGTTGCCATTAGGGCCAACAACACTGTTCTGAAGGTGCAGTTCATACTGATCACAAGGCATAGAGAGCTCTGGACAGAAACAACACAGATAAATTAGTTTAAGGCTGGCATTTCTGAACTAGACAGATTTGAAACTCGGGGGAAATATTGCACAGCTGCTCAGTGACTTCAATGACTAAACCACATTTTTAATTCACATTTTTAGATATCAAACTGATGCTTGAACATTATGAGCTGTGAGTTTGCAAAATACAGCTTCATAAACAGTACAGTAACTAAAGTAAAACTAAAATAATGGACCTGTGATTGTGCCCTGTCTTATCTTCAGGACTTTGTATCGGATGGAAGTTCCCGCCAGCAAGTAGACATCATGTGCAGGAATCAGCAGGATGTTCTCTAAAATCAGCAGTCTCACCTCTGCTGCACCCACATCCTGTGGCACAGTTACCATAGTTACGGAACAAAACAGTGTAATCTTCCCGCCTTAACAAACTTGAAAAAAAATGGGTTACTGTGTTCAAAAATAAGATAAAAATCAAACCAATTTACAGTGCACATGAATGCTTTTTTAATATTTGATTAATTATTGTATATATTTGAAGATATACATACATACAATTATTGTATATATTTGTACAGATAGACACTATAACTGTCACTACTGCTGTGACATCACTTATAAAAGGCAGGAAGAAGTGATTACTATTTATGATATCTGCATCTCAAGAGATTCTATATCAAATACTGCAACAAAAAAAACCTACGAAACTAACAATAAAGTGGAATATTAAAATTTTGTGCTGGCGTCTAGGCCAAGAAATTCATCTTTTGTACCACTTAACAGCTTACCTTATATAATGGCTCTTGTATTTTAGCCTTCAATTTAGCATGTCCTGTTTTCAGTCCTGACACCAAAATAATATCGCCCTGTTTCCCAACACGCTCCATTTCAGATATATATCCATGGGGTGTGTATGTAGACTCAGAGAATTTAAGAACCCTTAAGGAGAGTAAAGAAACAGAAACACATCTGAGACTCAGTATGGTCCCTTGCATCTGACCTAAAAAATTATTAATTTTCAAAGGAAGAGGAATCAAGAAGTAAAATAAAAACATTACACTCTTTTGGCTACGCAACAGTATCACTTTATCAGAGGCAGGTTGACAATTGTGTCTACTTTTGGTTAGCTATCAGACATTCTAAATTAAAAATTTAAAAAGACTGCTCAGTGGAGTTTGAGTGGTGTATTCACACAGGGAAGCCTACCTTAACGAATTGTAAGAGTCAGAGAATCCATTCACATCTACGTCTTTCACTAGGGTCCAATCAAACACTAGACCTGCCAGGGTGCTGAAGGTGTTTCCTGCAACATAAGGACAATAGTCAAACCCTATTTCTTTAAAGACTTTACAAACTCTAAATCTAAATATGGGTTTATTCATTAATGGGTATTTGAGATATAGTGAGGAACAGAGAATATTTGCATAGACCTTTGTCTTATCAGACTGAGGTATACTTGAAAGTATAATGGACGCGGAGCTCAATTTTTTGAAAGCTCCTGGCAATCTAATTAGCTCAAACAAAACCAACAGTCGTTTCATTACAGGATACTTTCTATCATTTTGCAATCTACTCCATCTGAGGACTCTAAAAAGCTTTCTTTGCTTTGAAAACAAAAGCAAAGAAAGACAAAACACCAGGCCCTACAGCCATCATCAGAAAGAATCAGGCTGTAGCTACAGCTCATTAAACTAAGTGTGTCTGCCCTAAATGGAACCAGCCAAACAGAACAAACAAGCCACCTCACAGTACCAGCCTGAGGTGAAAGAAAACACTGCCTAGAGTCAGCTCAGACATCACTCTGTCTTTAGAGAAGCACAATATAGTATGGCATAGTATTGATGTAAATTATATTTGCAAGCAGCACTGGACGCGTCCTCGCCCGCAGCTCTGCCGCTGCTCCGAATTAACGGGCACTTGGGACTCTGCATAGATGACTTAAACGTCACTTCCTGTGTCCCCCATGTGGCGCTAAACAGCAGCCAGTAATTATGTTATGGCCCAGTACGTTTGACACGGCTTCCGTCAAAAATAGAATGGCATATTAAACTTTAGGGAAAACTTGAAAAAAAAAATTAAAAATTCAATCGTGGTACTGTGATTGGTTGCCACCTGTGCAATAAGTCAAGTCATTAAATTTCCTCAATGCTAAATATTCCACAGTCAACTGTTAGTAGTATTATAACAAAGTGGAAGCGATAGGGAACAACAGAAACCCAGCCACAGAATGGTAGGCCGCATAAAGCACCACAGAGCAGGGTCAGAGCATGCTAATGCCACTGTGCGCAGAAGTCGCCAACTTTCTGCGAATTCAATAGCTACAGACCTCTACACGTTGTGTGACCTTTTAGATTAGCTCAAGAACAGTGCGTAGAGAGCTTCATGGAATGGGTTTCCACGGCCGAGCAGCTACACCAAAGCCTTACGTCACCAAGTGCAATGCACAGCGTCGGATGCAGTGGTGTAAATCATGCCACCACTGGACACTAGAGCAGTGGAGACGTGTTCTCTGGAGTGACGAATCACGAGTGATTGTGTGACGAGTCTGGCAATCCGTCTGGTACTTGCCTCACTGCATTGTGCCAAGTGTAAAGTTTGGTGGAGGGGGGATTATTGTGTGTGGTGGTTTTTCAGGGATTGGGCTTGACCCCTTAGTTCCAGTGAAAGGAACTGTTAATGCTTCAGCATACCAAGAGATTTTGACAATTTAATGCTCCCAACTTTGGAAACAGTTTAGGGATAGCCCCTTCCTGTTCCAATATGAATGCGCACCAGTGCACAAAGCAAGGTCCATAAAGACATGGATAAGCGAATTTGGTGTGAAGAACTTGACGGGCCTGCACAGAATTCTGATCCCAACCCAATAGAACACCTTAGATGAATTAGAGTGGAGACTGCGAGCCAGGCCTTCACATCCAACATCTGTGCCTGACCTTAAAAATGCGCTTCTAGAAGAATGGTCAAACATTCCCATAAACACACTCCTAAACCTTGTAGAGAGCCTTCCCAAAACTTTTGGCAATATAGTGTAGCATCAATGTCTTAAGGGTTGTCAGAGATAGTTCTGAAGTGGATGTGGCCAACCGGTTAGGAGAAGTTCATCACAGCAAAAAAGTAGTCACTTCCTGTTGCCAGTATGTGGTGCTATGATATTCATGAATACTGGCATGTAGATGTGTTCATGCGCGAGACCCCTAAAATACAAAATTTCTCGCCCCACCCGACTTTGGTGCAAAGTTTGGTGAGTTTTCAAGCACGTTTTAAATTTGCAATTCATTTGCACAAAAATAATTGCTTCAATTTCAATAGGGTCATCGCAGGTTTCATGCTCAGACCCTAATTATTTTTATTAGTCTATGGGGATATATTATCCATAACACTGCTAGCCTATAAAAACAATTACTTTATCCTGTAATAAGCCAGCATGTGTCACCTTCAGAGTCCAGTGCATGAATTTTGAGTGCCAGTGGGGAGTCCTCAAGATGTAACTCCCTGGTGGTCGACACTATCCGGATCTCACTGATGATGTCGACAATAGCGTCACAACGCAGCACCTGTCCTGTGACTGAGAATGGAAGAGAGGACAAAATATGATATACATGGTACATACTGTACAATACTACAATATTGTACTCTCAGCAAACAAGGAAAACCTCAGAAATGAACGGCTTGGTGTTCTAAAGGAACAGTAATTTAAAAAGGCAGAACAGGAATTCTTGTGGAGGCACAAAGCATAATCTACCTCATTGCTTAAACACAAAATAATTTATCATAGTTATGGAAATGGTAAAAGAGTGTGACAGGTCTAAAGCATCCTCTCTTGGCAAAATGCTCTACAGTTATCAATCAAGTCAAATGTTGTGGCTTTTCTTGTCTGTTAAGTGGGCCGTTGCATGAGCGATAGATTATGTTTGATTATGGTTTTGGTAAACCTAAACAGCTGGAGCGAGTAAGGCCACATTCAAAATCAGTGACTGTGGTCTGAACTTTAAAAGAAACAATTAGGATGTATGTGGAAGGGCCAAATGTGTCTAATTTTCCTGATTACGATGCAAATGCTCACAACTGCCACTCATCCGTGACTGGCCAACAGTGTCACAGGCAACAGATGACATACAACTTGCAACAGCAAAGAAGGAAGAAAAAAGGGTTGTGCAATAGAATGTCTATTAGTTGTGCTTCTCTAAAGAGAACAGGGCACATTTTACATTCTAGACATATTTCTATCTCAGCAGCAATTTGAACAGTGACCATTTCAATAGCTTCCGGCGCTAATTTCAAGATTTTAATCTTTTCAGGGGATTCTTACGACATTCAGTTGGTATAACAAACACATATCACACCTTATATTTCTATACTCACATGTATAGCCTACATAGTGTACCGATTTGAAGACCAAGTAAACAACAGCATCCTAAACCTATCAAGAACCGCTGGGCTGCTTAAGCAAGTTGCCTTTTCTAATGTATGTGACGTGTACATGACCCAGGGTGTTCTGTGTAACTGACAAATTCATGGAGCATTTCTCATCTTAACCTTTTAAAGATTTGTTATATAAATTGTTCTGAATGCAGGCAGCCCAAAATAAAAATACAAAAACCAGAACAGGAAAATAATTTCCCGGGACAACAGTTTCCAGGGTATTTCATTTTCTCTCATTTCCGTGCTGTTTTTACACAGCTGGGGGAAAAATCTAGAATAATTCAGATTTCTTGCTTTTCTACATTGGACCCTTGCATTTGCATGCCTGTAAGTATTTCTGTTTATCTCCAAGTAACAATGTAAACAGTTAGCAAAGCACACTTCATGCTCTATTTTTCTGACTCATATTTACACTTTCAAAGGAATTCATAAAATGAACAACTGAACCAACAATGCACAAATTTCACGTAGGAACAATTCTTGAATGAGCTACTTGTGTTGTATTTTATTTACCAACATCTTCAGCCAGAATGATGCTGGTCAGTCTGGAAGGCTGGGTGGAGAGAGCCTGGAGAACAGCTCTCCGGGAGCAGCCTCTGCTCGTCTCTTCGTCCACAGCCTGGATGCTTGCTACCTCTGGTCTGGTGGAGGACCTGGAAGGATATGACCAGAAATTTTTTTTTGTCACAATAACAATGATGAAATAGTTGCAGCTTTACAATAAACTTGGATTGAACATTAATTAAAGTCAAATTTAGAAAGGGTTTAGCTGTTTTCGGCCCTTACGCATTGCCATGAACTGACTTCAGTGTATGCGGCATACTTAGCCATGTGGCCTTACATGCCTCATGCAATATGACACTTCCAGGTTTGTCTACTCACCATCTGTAGCACCCTTCAGTAGTTTCCAATGTGAAGTTAATCTTTGTACTTCTAGCAAGCGGTAGCAACACTTTGGGAATATTTAGTTTCGAGGTACCGTTAACTTGAATCACGATTTTTAATAATAGCAATACCAACACTGATAACTTTAACTGAACCATTTCCGTTTTATGAGATTGCGGTGATTTTTTTGGCAATGAAACCAACATCCGAATGAATGAACGCTTATATTCTGTACTAGCAAAACTTCCCCCTTCCCATTAAGTGAACTGTTTGTGCAAGTAGTTTTGGAGTTGTGGCTCTGGGACACACGTTTAGGTGAGCTAACATCGCTACTAAAGTCTTCCTACTCAGTTTCAGTTTGTGTCGTTAACAGATAACGTTAGCAGCCACATGATGATAACAGTTAATGTCTTCTTCTAGCTTTAGTCCTGTAATTCAGGTCCTTCCCTTTGTTTATCTTCGAATATGCTTCGGAATACACGGCGACTATCAATTTCAAATCCCCAGTTTTATATTAATATATACAGTTAGCAAACGACAGCTTAAAATACGCATATTTCGTATAAATACCCGCCATTAGCAATAATTGGACCTCCAGTGTGCATGCCGGGAGTGGGGAAACGTCATAGACGAGGGTGGGCAACGGGGGTGATGACGCGCCTTCTTAAAGAGACAGTTTGTTTTTTTCAACACTTGAATTGAATAATCCGAAACTGCAAGCCTGGATTCATAAATCGGGCTGCTTCGTGAGGCCTCAGATCCTTAGGGGAAAGCCCCGTGTTCACAGTGTGTTTGGTTTGTGGTAATTTGATTAAATGCAAAATTGTTTGTGCACTACTAAATGACAAAATCAACTGAAATGACAATGCTCCAGATGTTGTCAAGCAGCATCTCCATCCCTTTTTGGCACATCCAGTTCTGCAACTTTATATGTCACTGAAAAAACGTCACTGAGTTACCACTTTATAGGTACACATATACAATATAATACAACCCAAAAGCCCATCTTTGTGTCATGTTAAGCTTTACTGGCACTGTGTCAGAGAAATGCATTCAGTACATTCATCTCCAGTGTAGTTGTAAATTGTGTTTTGTTGTAAATTGAGAATTATTTGTAATAATTTGTCCCCCTCATTTCCTGTATGTAGTGGTGGACAAAACCTGAAACACCGCAATATGATACCAACGGTAAAGATGTCCTCGGAAATGACTGTAAAGTTGGATTAACTGTATTAAAAACTGTTTTTGTTCATTCACAAAGCTATGATTCATTGCTTACTTATTTGCACAGGTAAACTGATACATTTGTAAATTCTTGCTCTAGTGGTAACTTGATAAGTGGTTGACTAATCCTTGACACTCAGCCAACAGGCTGATTTCTCTGCATGTTGAATGAATGTGACGAGGAGGGCATTCAGAAGTTGGCTGACACAAGTAATTGGATCATTTTGTGTACAGATTGATTGATTTTATATTGTTGTATATTAATCTTTAAATTAATTTGAACAACAGGACAAGGCAGACCACCATAAACGCCTGGCTGCCAGTCATTCTTGTGTTATGTCTTTTGGATGCACCCAGTTTTGGCTGTCAGAAGCATTCAGTTAAGAACATGCAGACTTTTCACCCCTAGGTGTCACTGAAAGCTGCACCTGTATACTTTTGTCACCCAGGCATGGATGACAGCAATGAGCAGGGGACATGTTCCTTATGTGAAATATGGGTGAAATAGTCATCAGTCACGTTGAACCAATGTAATATTTAACAAATTGGTTCAAATTATGATGATTGAAAATTAGCTAAATGGCAATATGTTTGGAAGTGGAAAGCTGTGTAAAATCATAAGCAAAACTCCCCTTAGTATGTTTGTGTGTGAGATCATTGTCTGGCATTAAAATCGGTCCTGGGATAACACATGAATTGTTAACGGAATTTTAATTATACATTCTCAGTTCAATTGACTGCATTATTTCTGATCCATCCTCTGATCTGCTTTGAAGTTATTACAGCACTGCTCATCCTGGTTTGTGCTTCAAGTTTCTAGACACCGAGAGCTACACAGCTTGATTAGCAGATACACTGTGGTTTTGAAGTGTCTTACATAATGCTGTTTTGTGCCAAAGGTGACATATTGTTTGAGTCAGAGTGCATTAGCAATGAAAGCCCATCACTGACTGGTACTGTGGTGCAATAGGCTGGCTTTTATGACCATACAGTAGATGCAACTGCAGTAATCTACACATAATATACTCTGCATTGACACTACAAAGGTAACATGGTCTAAAATTATGGCTGTTCCAACGTGTTTTTGACTTTTTCAAACTATCTGGGGTTGAATTAATATGACATATCTTTCTTCAGAACAATGATGACAGTTGAGAATGAAACCTGAGACAGAACAACTTTCATTTATTTTGACAAAGCCACTCTGTGTGGTCTTCGGTCTTACATTTAGTTTCATCTTTGTATCCTATCCATGGGCAGTGTACAATTGATGTTAGGAGTGAATGATGTAATGTCTGAGAACCTGGAAAACAATACCTGAATGCCATGCTCTGTGTTTGTAGCACTTCACATGGAGACTCAAGTCTAGACAACACAAAGTGCAGCACCAGACTGAACTCATTCAAAGAGAAAATTACTTGTAATGTAGAGTTGTTTCTGGGTGGATAAATCCTGATGTGATTTCCTCAGTCCAAACCTGGCCAAGTTAGATCTCAACAACCATTGAGTATATCCAGTGAAAAAATGGGAAGTTCTCAAATGGTTGTAAATAGTTTTTATTTAAAATTGTCTGACTTTGTGGCTGTGTTTTTAAGTGAGTTAAACAGCCATACTCTTTAAACGTTACTGCTGGCAGTACATTTAATCACCTATTATTTCCTGAAAGATGACCTTTCAGATTCCAATGTGTTGTATAGTCACTTTTATGTTGCGTAATTGGCCGTGCATCAACACCCATATGTTGCACATAAAATATTGTCCTATGTCACAAATGGTTGTAGCTGCTTTCCACTTCTGTCTAGTTCCTCCTCATCTGGCATGCATCAGCAGTCACGTCCTTCCTGGTGTGAAGACAGGAACTTTTCTTGGCCACCATGCTTGGTCCAAACAAGTGGGTGCAGAAGGCCGTAGCACTTATTTGAACGCTTACTCAATGGCAATGCTCTCAACTGGTGGCTCGGCTTTTACCAAAAATGTAATAGGCTTTGGAAAGCTCACTGCTTCATATAGAAGTACACCGCTTAAAGGTCCTCAAGGTGTGAGCCACAGTTAAAACTGCTGTAAGTAGGCATAATAAAAGGTGTTGTTATCCAGTGAAATCAGCCTTTGCCTCGGGGAGCTATCTTGTGTATTCCAAGTATTGCAAAAAAGGACAAGGAGGTGGGACTAGCTCAAATGATTACCATTATATAATAAGGCTGCTGATGTCCACAGGGTCTTGACTCTACAGCTTTCTCTGCAAAATATAGTGAACATCATGTTGGGTTAGTTAATAATTAATTTTTTATTTATAATAATTTAATTATGATGAAAGAACTAAAACTATTTCCTTATGGATCACCATTTCCCTTGAGAAGTAATGCACCTTTTCACTTTCAGATTATCTTGGCCCACACAACATTGGTCTACTGGGCAGGTCAACAGAGCTGTGCTGTAAGTATTAAACTTCTTTACGCAATCTCAACTACATGCCTTAAATCCCCTTGCCATCTCCATGGTATAGGTATTAGGTGGATAGAGCGGAGTGGATTATTGACATTGGAGGTGTAATCTTGCCAAAATGCATTCATGGGCCCCACATTTAATTTATACTAGCCAGTCTTTATTCATAACCCAAAGAGATTTTTTTCTCATTTAGTAAGTAAAATTATATTAATAGTAGAACCTATTTGAAAGTAGTTTGTGACATTAGGTGATTAGGTGAACCCCACAGCAGACATGCCATTTAGCTACACACTGGAAAGTCTTTACGAGACACAGGTGGGGAGTCACTTTAACCACATTACATTTGGGTCCTCATTTCCTATGGTGTACCCCCTCCCACCCCCCCAGAGCCACAGTGCCCTGTCTTTGCTGGTTTACTTTAAAGACTTCCTCTCTTCACTTTATCTTATAGACCTCCAGCAGTGTGTTGATAGAAAACATTTTTGACTGCAAGTAAGATATTTTTTGAGTCTAGAACATTTCTTGGTCATTAACCACATGTGAAGTACATAACTGCCAAAACACTATTATTAGAAGATTAAAAATAATTATCTGGCACTTTGTATGTGTATGCACTTGTGAAATTACTTACATTAATGGACTGAGGTATACAATATATCAATTTAAACCACCCCACCCCTCTCTGACCTAACAAAGGTTACAACAAACACTAGGCTCTATCCACCTGTTTAAACAAAAGCAGAAGATCAGGACAATGTATCAACAATGGACAGATAACATTAACGCCTGCTGCATTAGGGGACCCAAGTGGACAATGACGTCACCATCACTGGCATCAGTATTAATGAAATTCCAGAAGAATATTAAGGCTATGCTATCGACAAAAGAACTGAGCAAGAATTACTTCACTTGGCTCGGAAAACAAATAATAAACACAGTGTATTAAACTTTTAATTTAATATTCCTAGTGTGAAACAGAGAAAGTGCCCATTAGGCACATTATTTCGAGGCAGGGTTGCAGTCAGTAGGCTTGGGCAATTAGTAGTGGCATAAGTCACCATTCAAACATGCATGAATGAGAAATTACAACAGTGTGGGGTGCAATTACCTCTCCCAAATCAGTGCGTGTCAGATGACATTATCTTGCAGGCTGAGAGACATTACTGAACCGAGGCTTTGTAGCCCCAGAAGGAGAGGTCAACTACTGTGGGGGGAACAGTCCATTTGGTCCCTGCCTGTGACATGAGGACATCTCTATGGCGTCAGACGACCTCAAATGTTCTAAACATACAAGGCATGAAGCATTTAGGGATTCATTTCTGTTTGCCACCTGGTTTTCATTACAGAGATGATTTATGTTCATGTAGGGACTGTTGAAAGTGTACAATTCAGAACTGAAAGCAGCATGTATAGTTGTTGAAATGGCACAAGGGATAATTTACTTCTGTAGTGATAACTGCGAAACAGACGTGTTATAGCAAGTGACCATGGGTAATGTGTGTTATGTAATCTTTGTCATTTGTACAACATCTGTAGAAGAAAGTAAAATTAGATTTCCTTTGATGATGTTTTTACTTGCCTAAGAGGGTAAGCAGATTATGGGTGCTGTTTGTGTTGTGTTTTAGATTCCACAGCAGGGCAGTGCTGCACAGAAGAGTGACAACAGCCAACTCCAGGGCCACTTAGCTCATGTGTCCAGGTTATTAATGACCATGTGAGTGGTTTAACTTTGAGTTGAAATTGTGTTCAGTGGACCTGCGTCATACATGTGTCATCTGTAGTGGCATAACACAGCTTGACTACCAAGCACAGGTCAGACTGAGATAACATTTAACACTGAACCAGGAAAATCAATACCGTCATTAGTATGCAAGTGGATGTAGACATCAGCTTAGAGGACCGGTCTGTCATCCGGGACTTAAGAGAGTTGTTATTCATGTCCATA